ATGTAACAGAATTACTGTTCTGAAACTGTCCGTAGCTAACTTGAGAAAGGGGTAGGGTAGCATTAATATTTTGTAAAGTTTCTTTTTTTTTTAAAGTATGCATTCTTACACTGACTTCATACTTTAGTATATCACTTTTTAATGCTACTTACTCCACGAATTCAACATATATTACAAAAGGATATAATAAAACTCCTGTTCAGTTTTGGTTCAATATTGTCAGTGGCCAACATCTGGCCACCATTTTCTTTGTTTGTTTTTGTTTTTCCAGGACTTCCCTATTAAGAACTGACTTTTCAAAACAACAACACAGACATATCATTATAAAAATGAGCTAAGTCACAGTGTCACTTCCTGTGCAAAAACAGAGACGAGCATAAAAATAAACATTAAAATGCTGATCTGACACCACAAATAAGAAGTTAAAACATGACAGAAAAAAGCTGATAAAGTAATAGCTGAACGTCATTTTCCTCAGTCCTGATTAAAAGAAGTCAACAGTTTCTGCATACTGTTTTCAGTCTTTTTTCCCAGAGCTGCAGGGCATATGAAATAAATGCTGCCGTTCCTTGTTCAGTTCTGCTCCTCAATGAACTGACTAAATGGTCTGATGACCTGAGGTGTCTCTGCCAAAACAGCAAATCTCAAATACATTCAGGTATTATAATGCCTAATAGAACAGCAATAAGGATTTAAATTGTATATTTTTACTAACAGGGAGCCAGGGCAGTGACATTTTGTGATATAATCCATCTTCCTGTTTTTGCTCATGACTCTGGCAGCAGCAAAAATTCAGCTTTGTCAAAAATCTAATTATCACATAAGACAAATTTTATAAAGGATAGAAAGGTTAGCCTCTCAAGGGTGACGTTTATCCTATCCCATGCTTACCATTCCTGCTTTTTCCTTCTATTCACTTTTCCATTAATATGACTATAGGACTTCGTGAACAGTCATCTCGCCTTCTGATTTTTTTTTTTTTGTGTGTGTATTTTAAAACGATTTGATGATATGTAACAAAATATTTCATTCTTGGAACTTTATTTTTCAATATCACCATGGGCCCTATTTGTGCAGATTAATATTTTAAAAGCAGAGCAAAAGAGAGTACTAATTAAAACACAAAATCCTAATGATTCATATTCCTAATATACCTAAAGTACTCTGCTAATTTTTTGACCAACCTGTGCTTTAGGTTCTTCCATCCATCCAACACATTTATCCTAAAATGATACTATTTATCAAAGTGTGTTGGATTTATCATAGGGTTTAGCTCCAACGTCCTCAGAGGATAAACATGTTGGTACAGTGCTACCAACTGAGCCTCTATGCTGTTCCAGCTTCAAACGCCTGTGGAAATGTATTTTGTGAGAAACAGAACATAACTTAGAAGAAAATGTTAAAATAAAAATTGTTGGATTTTGACAGACGAAAGTGTAAAACAGAAAGTAAGACGCGTCCTGTAAGGTCAGGTTCACTTCAAGGAGACGGACAGGAATCCCTCCAAGAAAAGCAGAACAAAGAGGTTCAAGTTTGGGAAGAACTGGTGTGAGCAACAGGGTGTTTATTTACCCTCTGACATTTTGCAGAGGAAAATATTTTGACCGTGGCATAACGTTCAGAAAACATTGCCTGTTTTGGTTGTCAATCATCCTTTATCTCCCCTTTCCAGTTATGTTTTCACACTTCCATTTTGTAGACAGCAGCTTTTCCTTCTCTTCCTTTTTTTTTGTCAGCTAAGATTTTATAACAAAAACCTTAACACAGCCTCATTGGTGTTATTTACATAGTAACATGATGGTTGTTGCTGTCCCCCAAAACTGACATTTCACATTTGTAATTGAGGTTTTGGAAGGCGTGCAGTGGAAGGAGTTGCTTGACATCACGGCTAATAACACACACACACACACACACACACACACAAAAAAACTCATAACACCTGTGACAATACTGTTTTGTCATTTCTGGTCAACAAGCAGCCTTGACCTCTTGTAACTTCTACACACTATTTTCCACCCTGTTTACCTAACACCAAACCACACCTACCCTCTCACCCAGTTCACTCTTTCTCGTTAACTTGAGGAAGCGCTCTGTGAAACGAGAAGTGATGCGTGATGCAATCCATTAAACTGGGATTGTGGTATGGGAGCCACGTGACCCCCAATATAGGTACATTATCATAGGGTTTAGCTCTAAGTGGAAATTCCAGCTCCACCTCATCCTGTTTGTGGGATGTATAACAAATTGTTCTGATCCTGGTTGTTGAGTAGTTTCCTTTCAGTAGGGGGTTGTCGTGGTGAGATATTGAATGAATAGCGCATTTATTGTTTGGAAAAACTGTGGTTGGGGGACACTGTGAGGTAACTAACTTAGCTTTTTTTTGTTGTTTTTTTTTTTTCTTCTCGATAATTACTTTCAATTTCGTTCTCTCCTAATGCTTATCGTGATAGCTTGAGCTAAAAATTTGTTTTAGATCCTGGGAATTCAATTAAGGCTCTGCATACGCTTAAGTATTCCTGATTAATTTATTAATTAGCTTTAACATTTATGTATTTACTTTTTTTAATTTTTTGCAGTCTACATTCCACAGCTTTGGCCAAATTTGTTGATGTTGTGTTCAAAGCTATTGGTGGTAAAAAAAAAAAAAGGAGAAAAAAAAAGCTATTTGGGGAACAATTCAAAAACGATTTCTTTTTCACTTTTTTTTAATCTAAACATCTAATTTCCCTTACAATAGACTTCAATCTTCCAAATTTTGAGGTTTTATTGCTGTCTTGTGCAAAAACAAAAAGAACACACATGGAGTTAAAAGTTTTCCCTTTTAACTCCAAGTTTGGTGTCAACTAAAAACCTTTCTTATTTTTCCTATCAGGCTGCAGAGCGGGGTGAATCTGCAGGTTTGCTTCATCAACGACAGCAGCAGCGACAAAGACAGCGATGCTGAGGACAGTAGGACCGAGACCAGCTTGGACACGCCGCTGTCACCGATGGTATGCACCAGCAGATACTCCCTTAGGCGTCCCCTAAGCTCCCCTCGTGCATCACAGTCGCATAAAAACACACCCCGGCTGCTGCGACTTTCCACTAATTCCCTCGCTTCCCCGTGCAGAGCAAGCAGAGTTCATCACTGTCGGACCGGGACACGGCGGAAGAGGACTCGGATCCGTTGGACGACTGCAGCAGCTTCTGGCGGGTGCAGAGAAGGCTGCAGGAGGAGGCACGGGTGGCGCTGGCACTGGCTCGACCCATGGCTCGCATGCAGGTGGAGGTGGAGAGGCAAATCCAGCTGCACAGACGTTCGCCTGTTGCCGACCTGGTTAGTCAGCGAGAAAGAGATAAGATTCATTGCTGCGCCTTTTATGAGACAATAAAAGATCCACAGCTAATGAAAAGGGGAAACAAGATGGAAATGGAATGGCTGCTTTTACAGTAAACACAATAAAGATGACATTAGGGACTTGCTGGGCTTCAGTAAACTGTCAATTGTCTGGTTTGTGTGTGCGCGCGTGTGTGTGTGTGTGTGTGATGCAAGAGAAAACCCCTGGTAAGTGAAGGCCAGCATGTTTGTCCCACTGTTTTTATAGATGGGGAATATTTGCAAGGCCCATTTAAAGTTGACGAATTCTTGAAAACAACTCGATTTTGCTACTGTTCTGATGCGCAACAATTCGTTTGTATGCGTCTTTCAGCTCCCTCATCTGCCCCACATCAGTGAGGGGTTGGTGAAGTGGAACCTGAAGCACGGGGACATGAGGGACATGAGTCTGGGACAGCTGCAAGTCATAACAAACGACTTACACTCACAGATTCAGAGTGAGTACGTCACACAAGCATGCATGTAAGCTCTTAGAAACCAGAGAAATGGGAGTTCCATGACCTTCCAAATTTTGTGGTTACCCATGTCAATGATACTTAAAGGCAGTCATATCATAATTTACTCTGGTACTTTAGTGGGCAACATATTAGTAAACAAAATTATTTTCAGTTGGCACCATTTAGGGGCTTTCTGACATAAAATTTTGATCATCTCGTGCAGATCTAAACGAGGAGCTGGTGCAGTTGTTACTAATGAGGGACGAGCTGCATGTGGAACAAGATGCTATGCTGGTGGATGTAGAGGACCTAACCAGGTATTCTTCCACTTTGTAGCAGAGATCCAGTGTTTCAAATGAGTGAATTTACGTGCCTTTAACTTTCGCTCTTCTCTGCTGCAGGCACGCGCACAGCCATCAGCGGCACCAGACAGAGAAAGCGGTCTCTAAATAAACATCCTTATCCACACGTGTCCTTTTGCACGCCATCCAGCCTCCCATGCCACAGACTGTTGCCGGTGTTTTGTGTTTTCACTAACTCGAGCCATGGTCGTGATGTTTGGAAAGCCCCCACTCCCTCCCCCCCCCAAAAAAAACAGGCCTATAGCATGAACACGCATGCAGTTTATCGCATCGTGTGACTCAGTCAGAAAAGCCCCAAACCAAAGTCAAAAGAGAATAAAGTCACTAATTTAAAAACTGGCACAAATGAGTTGGTGCAGGCTTCTCATTCCCACTAGAGACAAGTCATGTTGTATAATTGTTTGGATGAGGGGGAATCCTGTTGCCCAGTTTGTATTCTTGCCATTCTTTTAACATTTGGTGAATTTTGCACAGATCTCTTATTTTCGGGAACAACTCTCAAGCCTTGTTTTCCCTTTTCCTTTCAGGACATTGATTTAAACCTCTCAACGTGCCGCACCAAACGCTTGATTTTGTTGACGTGCTCTGTGTATTTGTAAAGTGTATCATTTATTCCACTATGAGCACTGTATCAAAGCCGTTTCATTACTGAAATTCACTTTTAGCATCTTCTGCTTGCAACAGATTTTACCGTTTTGTTTCTATCGATAGTGCAAGATAGTTTAATAAAAATAAAATAAAAATGGAGTCGTGTAAAAGTACAAGCCTCCAGATAGGAAATATGCAAAATCATGTTTTATGCTTTATTTGCTTATGCCGACCATAAAACATGTCAGTTCCATATTAACACATAAGAGTCAGAGAATAATCTATTTTATGTGCGTACATGTCAAAAGAGACTTTATTTAAAGAATGATTAAATCGATTTAGATGTTCGGTGTTTCCACACTCAGCTTTCTAAGAATGTCTATTCACACAAAGATGAACTTTATATTGTTTGCTTCATTAAGAAATGTACTGTACAACGATTGTAATAACAGATCCAGTAATAAATGTTTCAATTGTGAACTGAAGTGAGCTGCATTCAATTGGATTTCAGAGGAATTTGTTCAAAATGAGTGCTTTGAAAGTTTCAGAAACCACTAATAGAATGTGCGATTTCCTTGAAACCGAAAGGCGACGTGACGTCAACTCTCATTAACACATGTATTTCGTACTTTTAAAAACCAACCACTGCTGGGTTTTCGTCCTCATTCACACATTCACGCTTCTGACTGTGCGACAACTTTTGAAAAAGGGTTACAGGAAGCACGCGGGAAACCACTCTGATGAGAATAACTAGGTAACCTACAAAAAAAATGACATCAGACATTAAGAAATGGCAACTAGGGAAAATGGGGCTGAAAATCAGGCTAGTTACAAAAGTGGTTTTAGGTATAAGAAGACACTTTTGATTGGATGTTTTATGGGCTCAACAATGCTGGTTGGAAAAGCACTTAACACCTATAAACAAGAAGAATGAGGAAAAATATAAGAAGCCATGGGAAAACCAAATTTAACTTAAAAGATTCATTCGCAGCATATTTCATTGATTTAAATTTAGTTATTTAAAGGAGCAGTATTATGCATGACCCAGACACAAAGTGGCATTTTATAGAACAATCAAAGAACCGTTATTATACAAATGCTGTACTGTGTAGAGCATAACATAATTTGACACAACGAGGAACCAAGAACAGAACCTCTCGCACAGAATATTCATCTTGTTCACCAGTGCAAATACCGATTTCTGATCAAGATAATATCTGGCCTGCAACATACTGTCAGCATGCGACTTTATCTGGCAAAAATAAATGTGAACTGCTATTGAGAAGAGTAGAGATCAATAATTTAGGCATAACACCAGCTGTGTCAAATCAGACTGATATTTTGAAGCGAGAAGGCGCGCTTATTGTGCCACGTCGTGATGGCCGTTAGCCAGGAAAGGCTGCTTGTTGGTACAGCATTTTGAGAGAATGTTGCAAGAAGAAAGTGTAACAGAGTGGCAGACATTCAGTCTTATTCAACAAATTAAACTATGAATTCCAGTGAGGCTTGTTTGTCTGATTAAAAGTACAATTTGAAAACTGTAAAAGTCTTTAACCAGGTATTAAACATACTTTTATGAAACCCACATTTCTGCATGATAACCGTATGTTTATTGGTCTAATGTAATATTCTAATCCTAAATGTAAACCCACAGTCATCAGTCTGTGTCTAATCAATATAATGTGTTTTACTAGAACTAGTTTACTGACATAAATTAACTTTCAATAATATTCCAATTTACTGAATACAATAGTGTAATTGCACTGTGTGTGCTAGAGTAATGAATAGCATTAAAGGGTTATTTCCACATTTTGTAATTTCTGCACTTGAGCTGTTCTGGTTCAAAGTCTACAACAATTTTAAACATTTTATTCTATATGTCATACCATAAAAAGGGAACATTTTCAGTTTTCCTTTCATGAGAATTTCTTTATTATTGTTATTTTGACTGGATTTTTGTTTCAGGGTCAATATAACCATAATACACAACTGCATCCAATAAAAGAGTGACCTGTGGCCCTTGTGAAGCTCAAGAGCGTCTGCACAAAAGTGTTTCAATTAGAACGTCTCATTCTTCAAAATGTATTTGCTGCTTTTTTATTTAATGAAAATTTTTTTCTTTCTTTCTTTTCTCTTACAAGAAATGAAATACATCCAGCTTTGCTTTGAAAATTTTTGAATGGAGAATTGTGAGGCAGTATGAATGTGGAGGGCGAAAATAGCATCAAATAATATTCTCACCCTTCCTTTCAGTATAAATGTCAATGGTTAACACAAGAGTAACCTCACAGATTTGCTAATGTTATTTCCAGTTTCACCCTGACCTTCAATCTCTAAAGGAGGAATGACGTGACAAAGCACTTTCAGTTTCAAGAAATAAATTTAAAAAAAAAAAGAGAAAATCCCTACTTAGGGTATAAAACCCTTGAGGATGCCTGAGTTGAGACAGATACGCTCAGAGAATTCAACTCAAGTCCAGGATGCCACTCATGAAGCTCTGTGAGTATCAAATGATTTCTCTGTGTATCTCAGCAAGAAAATAATTAGAAGACTAGAGTTTTTAACATTACTGTGTTTATTTTGCTTTTTGTTTTTCTTTTATTACCAGCCTTCACTCCTGTGCTGCTGCTCCTGGCACTCAGCTGCCCTGCATGGGTGGTCAGCCGGTCACTACCACTGACGCCCAGCGGTCAGATGACCGACTCCTGTGTCTTTTATGCACGGATGCTTCTGGAAAACGTCACAAATCTTCTGGCGCCGGACGATCCGGTAGGTGACTCGGTGACGGTTGACTTCTACGTTGCTGCGTTTGGGGTGCTAAACCTCTCTGCTCCCAACAGACAAGGATGTTCAGTGGGTTGAACTGCACCAGGCACAACATGCAGCTGAACTTGAAGACCAACACGTCCACTGTGTGTTCGCCACAGGTACAGACAATGACATTGGCATTGCTTGGCGGTATTTTTGACATTCGAATGATTTATTTATAAAGAGAAGTCACAGAAGTTGTGCTGCATATCAACTTTTTTTTTTTTTTTTTTTTTTTTTAAATGAAAGTGGTTTTAATGGGTTTTTGTAAACTGTTTGTCCCACAGGGTTCAGTATGCTCTGGGGAAACTACATCAGCGTTTGATCGGGTAGGCATCTAAATAGCTACCTAATAAAGTTTTATGTGTTTAAATATATATTTTTTCTGTCAATAGAATTCAAGGCGTCACTTTTCTTGAGTCTGAAGGTGATGTTTTTGTTGTTATTCCGTGCAGGAGTCATGTTTGAAAGACATCGGGACCGACCTGAGCTACTACTACAACGTTCTCTCCAGTCAGCCGGATTCTGATGGTACTCTTGGTTCTTCTGTTCTCCTCCCCCTCAGAGAGCTCATGGAGGTTTGTCAAACATTATCACCATTGCTTTTTGAACTGATACTTGTTGCTTTGTAAGCATTTGTACTTCTTTTCATGCTGCAAACTGAACTCTACGGAAAAAAAAAACTGAAGTGATTTCTCTCTTTTTTTTGTAATCAACAGAATTGCTTTAGCTCATCTCTAACAGACTTGAGCTCAAAGGAGGTAAGCCTTAGCTGTTCTCTCAAAAACTAGCGAGAAACATATTTCTGATAAACCCAAGCACAACTTTACCAGACGAGCTGCTTCCACAAAGCCCTAATGATGCCTCTGTATTTCTTCAGGCTTCTGTGGACCATTCGAGCACCAACGGCTTCAATCAACGGAAGCTCCTCTGCAAGATCATGAAAGGCTTCCACGTCCGCACCATCACGATCAACCGAGCCATTGGCTACATGAACCTCGGTGAACACACTAACTGAACCCTCACCGATCTCCAGAGCAAGAAACAAGCAGCAAGGAACCACTTCTCAAACAGTTAAACTACACCGTGCTACTATAAAAAAAAAGAAAGAAAGAAAATCCAACTCTAAAAGAAACACTGAAGTCTATGTTTTATAATGGAATATTATTTATTATTTTCTTTGTAAGTCTGTGATGATTCTATTTAACATCAAGATGATGTGTGACAGTGTACTTTTATAAAGTATATTTTGGAACATGTGATATTTACATAATGTAATAATGTTTTGTTTTTTATTCGGGACTATTTATTTTAACTATTTATGGTGATGTTATTTACTTGGTTCTAAAACTGATCAAATAAACTTTATTTTTCCTGCATGATACCTGATGTTCTATCTTGTTTTTAAATCATTGATTCTCGCTCGTTTCGCAAGACAGAATGATTCAATTTGGAATGAAAAATGACAACTACAGTTAATAAAACCTAAATTTTATTTAAAAAAAACAAAAAAACAAAAAAGAAAACTGCAGTGCCATTCAAAAGAATGCATTCCCCCCCCAGAGTGTTTACATTTTGTCACATTTAAAACTACAATCCTCCAGAAGTGTCAGATGTAAGATAACACTATTTTCAGTTATTTTTTTTTTTTTAGCAAATTAAAATCCGAATATGTATCTGTATCTGTGTGGAACCATAACTACAAAGACTCTGCACACTACTACAATTTATTTCTTCACAAAATTACTCATGCTCAGCAAAACCGACTAGGAGGCACACGTAAACATCAGCTTTCAATTCCTGCCAGAGATTTGAAATTCGATTTGGGTGTGAATTTTGACTTACTGAAACACATTAATATTATTTAACACTCCACTGCAGCTCTGGCTGTACATTTAGTGTAGTTGTCCTGCTAGAAGGTGAACCTCCACACCAGTCTATAGTCTTTCATAGCCTCTAACAGGAGCTCTTTCAGGACTGTCCTTTGTTTTTCTTCACCTATCTTGCATTAACGTCGGCCATCTTCCCTTTATTTGCAAAAGAATTTTAACACCAGGCTTCATTCTCATATTAAACTGCTGTCATAGCAAATCATTTTGATTTCTCTTGATTTAGACTAGTATTCAGACTTAACATCAGTCTGTGGAGTTGTTTACAGTCCTTTATGTTGAGGAGCTGAGGTGTGAACATACCAGCTTTCATTTTCTCAAAACATAGTTATGAATTCACCAGCGCAGTCATAAGATTCCTGAACAGTCTGTAAATGAGCAACTTGACCTGTAAGTTGTGCACGTAGGTTAGTTGAGGGGATGATGTTTCGAAAGTGCAGGTTATCCACTGTCTGTTACTGAAAAAAATGTACTGAAAGTAAATATTTGGTTTTTTTGTGGCTGCTGAGGCTGAGAGAGACCTATGATGTCAGAGGTGGCTGCCTCTGTGGGAAGCAAGGATTACCCTTCTACAGAGTTTAATTCATCTTTATGAATTAAACTGAGGTAGGCCACCTGTTTTAAAACTACTTAAGTTAACCACAAAATCTCATATTAAAGTTACAATCTGTTAAAGTTTGCTTGGGGTATTAGCTCGTGAAGCTCAAAGTTAACAATCAAAGTTCAGCATATCATTTTGTTGAAGAAAAAAAACCATCTTGAGTTTTCCATGATGTATTTTGTCATTTGCTAATAAGCAAAACAGTCTTTGAAAATCACATCCTATTCAAATTTTTAATTGTCTGTAAATGTAGTCATCTGTGCTTCTCAAAATGTGATTTTTATCAACTTCCTAAAATAATTGCCAATGTCATTTTTTGTCAAGAAAAAGTAAGATCACCAGGTCTTTTTTTTTTTCTAAAGATCTTATAAAAACAAATCACTTTTGGCAAAAAATGACTGAGGCCCTTATTTTAGGAAGTTGATAATAGTAATATCACCTTAATAAATAATAAAGCTATTTTTTATTTTGTTCAATTCCGAATGAATATTAATACTAATTAATATTAATAAATTAATTATTAATACTAATAAAATAATACTGATTAATACTAATTAATCAATCTTAATTGATTAATATTGATTAATAAATCAATTAATAGTAAGTAATTGATTAATTAGTAGTAAACAGATCAATATATTCTGTAATATATTTATTAATATTTAATGAATAAATAGTAATTCATTAATATTAATTAAACATAACATTAATTGATTAACAGTCACTGATATTAATATTATTAGCAACATGATTAATAACATTTGATTTTATGTTGATGTTTACAAGCATTACCTAGGATTTACAAGAAGACCTTCATTTGTTTAAGCTGACGGTCTCAATCATTTGTTGATTTTGTTGCTATAAAAACACATGATAACAAACATGTAGAAGAATTTTCCTGTAACCACTACCTTGATTGTTTAATTCACCATGAACGCTTAGCTGTGCTTGCATACACATCATTTGGAAAGTCCAGTGTCTTACAAGCCGATAAGTCTAATCATCACTGGAAAAGGCTTTGGGGTTTTAATAGAACTATTACAAAAAGAGAAAAAAAAATTATTTTAGTTCCTCTTATCCAGCATTCTGGCTTTATATTGATAATATCCAGTGTAATCCAGCGAGCAACTTTCTTATTTACAGAAAAATGACAAGAAGGTGTTAAGGCGCCACCGTATCGACAACTTTTACCAGAGAACTATGTCCTGTATATCACCCAGTGGATGCCCTAAAATACCACTCATAAGAATCTTTCCCATGCATTACATGATGTGCCAATCTTTAGTCTTGGGAGTGACTAAAGTTGCGGGAAGGATGTTTCAAATGTGCAGGTCTGCAACCTGTTATTCATAAAACAGTACTGAAAGTGAATAGTTGGTTTTGTTTTGTCAGCTTTGGTTTGTATTGTTTCCTTGTCGTGTGAACAAGCTCTTCGGATGTTTGCGGTTGTTGAGGTTGAGAGGGACCTGTGATATCATCTCTGAGAATATATCAAAAGGAAAAAAAAAAAAAACTCAGGTACTCAAGATATAAAGTTCAATCTATTATTACTGCAAATTTATTTGCCATATTAAGTGATACTAAGCTGCTATATCTGGGCAGAAACCAGAAACCACAGATGTAAAAATGTTATATCGAACTGTTAGAAACTATTTTATTTATAGCAATAAAAAATGAGTTGTTTGGTCCCTGAAAAAAAAAATTACTAAAGCAATCAAGATGTAGGAGATACATATAAAATCCCCTGTGATTTCATAATTGTTAATCATGAAACATTTTTACTTGCTGCGATAATACACATCATGATTTTATTTTAGAAATTTTCATCAGCCTCACACTCATTAATTTCAATCTCACAAAATGTTTGCAAGGAATCTCAGTTATAAAAAGTTGCTACAATTCTGAATCATACGTAGTGCTCTAAATGTACAGAATTTCTTTTTCATCTAACTGTCATTGTTTTGGTCTTAAGAAAAACAACAAGGAAGTAGAAAGAAGGAAGTTACTAAATTTAACCATTCCAGTGTTAAAATGCAGTTTATTAAATTATATATCTGGTCTACTGAAAAGTGTATTTATTGAGAAAAGGAAACTAGTGAAGAAGCAAATCTTTGGTAAATGTATTTTTTCACTTGTCATATTTTGTTTCATGCTGAAATCACAGAGGACTTGCACTTCAACTTGGACTTTAAGACCTATTAATAACTACTTAGACATGATTTATTTGACCCGTTTATGTTCACCAAACACATATCATGGTCAAATATTACTATTATGTTCGTACACAAATAATGTCTAAAAAACTAAAACAATCTACCCATTACATAGCAACTCTGCCAAGCCCAGTGGCTTGAACCTAAATTGAATAAAAATGCATAAAAGCTGTGAAAATATTAATAAAGTGCTAAGCAGCATTTGTGAAGCTTTATAAAGTACTTTTGAATATTAACAATATTATGGGCATTTACTTAATCAATTGTTTAATTAACAATATTTCTTTCTTCAGACAACCCAACTTTAATTTTATTACAAATATGTTTGAAGAATCTCAAAGTCATAACAAGGTAGGTTATGTTTGTTACAAACTTATAGCATTATTCTTGGTTATTCACCGTCCCTGTAAACTCAAGAAATAATGTCATGCAGCTTTGTTGCCATCTTGTGGAATTTTAAGCGTACAGCACTTATGACTTATGAGCAGAAACTAACAAATAAATAACAAACAAACAAAAAAAATGCTAAAGAAAAAAAGAAAAAAAATTAATTATGAACTTTTATTCAGAGCAAAGTCGAGGAAAAACACGCTTATAAAGAGCTGGTGACAGTCATAAATAGGCAGGAGCCTTAATCACCTGCAGCTGCGGCTATATCTTTAGTGGACTGAAGGGCCACTATCTTCAAAAGGTGTCTTAGAATGGGTCGCAACCTGCGATGAATCGTATCCTGGTGGCTCATAATTTTTTTTATTCACTTTCCACGTTTACAGAAGGTCGGCTGGACTACAGCTGGGGTTCACGAGCAAGCAGCCCACAAGCTTTGGTCATAGGAAACTGGGTGGGAGGCTGTAGTCCAGCCTCAGCTGTCGGCCACAGGCAGCAGCAAAGCTCAGCAGAGTGCTCTACCAAGTCCAAGGACTCTGAAGTGCTTTACACCAGTCATTCACCCATTAATTGCTCTGATGCAGCCTGGTGGAACCAAGGCTGCCATTCAGTCAGCACCACCAGCCCCTCTGACCACCACCAGCAGGCAAGGCAGGTGAAGTGTCTTGCCCATGGACACAACTGAAATCAAACCAACACCCCAATGGTTACAGCAGAAACTCATTGCCCCATTCAATCTTATAGACTACACCACAGAATTTCCTGGGTAATCATGTAAAGATAAAATATTTAGTCACATTTTTTTATTGTGCAACATGTAATATAACACTAACCTCCTGCCAGTTTATGGGCCTTGGTATAAATTGCTATATCAATTTATTTAGCATTGGATTCCCTTGAAACCACACAGAGAGAGAAGTGTACATGTAAAGAATGCATTGTTTGCATCACAGATACAAACAACGCATCTCTGACAAGAGCAAAGATTCATCTGCAGTAACTTGATACTGACTCGTGTCAATTTAGAAGACATCCAGACATGCTTTTAAGGGCCACTTCCTGCCATTACAACCCACAACCTAATCACGCAGTCACTTTATCGATTACCTTTGCTAAGGCTATGATGTAACACAAAATGCTGGCTTCAACATTGCCAGTAAAACGACCCCATACAGATTTAGCTCCTTCCTTCTTTTTTCTGGGCAAAATTACAAAAGCATGTGCAGCGCCGTTGTATTTTGTAAAATTCAGAAACTGTCCAATGAGTAGTGTTGTTTTTTGTTTTGTCTCCCACCCCTCTCCTCCCATCAGTAAAAGGACATCATGTTGTGCTTTGTATCGACGTCGCAAGTGGATCAACGCATTGCACTGCGCTGACCCAGCTTGACCCACAAGTGTATACTAAACCTTATTGCAAATGGATCTTAGTTGCGCTCTTGCCAGAGAAGAGTTTTAGACCATTTGCTACGTCAGCGTCAGAGACAGCGTGACCCCCGCCCATTATTATTTTTTTTTCCTACCGGGAGGGCGTGTACGCTGTCCGTGGTCCTGAAACAATCCCACACCTCTTCTCGACATGACTTTCCTCACGCTGTTTTGGATTTGAAGACCATTTTTCTTTGTTTCCACGAGTCCAATTCTCGATTAGGAATTATGTCCATGAGTGGGTTTACGACTTACCAACACGCTGAACGTCTGATACGTCGGAAGGACTTCTGAGTACAATAAAAAGTTAAAGTCGGGCTTGTTGGAATAGTGTGTTTGTGAGAAGAGAAAAAAAAACTATAGGCTGATTGCCAATTGTTGAAAACCTAAGGCTCAAACTCAGAAACTTTAATCTGGTCGCTTTGTTTTCCTCTGGGCATGCGGTGACTTGTTGGTTCTCTATTTCTATGTTTCAATCCAGGAATCTTTCGACGCATCGTTCATCCACTCCTAAATTTTTAGAGCTTGAGAGTTTTTTTTATTTTGTTTTGTGTTTTTTTTATTGTTTGTTTTGTTGTTGTTTGTTTTGTTTGTTTGTTTTTTTTTTGTTGTTTTTTTTGGTTCCGATCCCAACAGATATGTCTTCCAACAGATGCGGAACACTGATCGTTTTCAGTGTTTGCCTCCTCACCCGCACACTTGTTTCCTCGATCCGAAGATGCGAACTGGGCATCTGCAGGGACGACCAGATCTGCTGTAAAAACACAACGTTCGGCTCTTGCTGCAAAACTCACGCGGACAAGACTTACTACAACATCGCCATGGTCACCCGGAAACTTTCCGGGGTGCTCATCATGCTGCTCCTCTTCGCCCTGGGATACTTTATCCAGAGGATGCTGTGCTCCAAATCCAGGCAGCACAGCCCGCCGCTAAACGGACAGCCGCCGGTCACTCTCTCACAAGAAATGCTCATGGAGAGCTGTTCGCGGGACACCTTGGCTGATCCACCTCTAGCTTCTGCTGCAGCTGTGACTCTGCCCACATATGAGGAATGTAGAGATCTCCCGACTTACGAAGAGACCATTAAGGACGGAAGCAAAGGACGAGCGGGCCCCTCCAGGATGAACGACGCGGACATTGTTTGAACATGCTTGAACTTTCATTATTTGTGATCTCCTGCTAATGTTTCTATTTTAGGACTTAAACTGCTTACTTTATGAATTCACCGCATTCCCTCGTCTGACCATTGCTGACATAATTTGCTTGTTTACTGATCAGAGTAAAATAAGTTGAGAAATGCGAATGTTTCTCCCCCGTGGCTTTTGTTGGAACATTTCCAGAAGGGCAAGTGTAACACACGTCTGTTTGAAGTTTAAATAATGTAATTCTTGATATTGCGTTATTAAGCAACGATTCGAATACCGGCTCCAGCTAGAAATAGTTGGTGCTAAAACAATATTTCAGTACTATGATTTAACTTCCGATTAAAAATTAAAAAGATAAAAATTAAACAATAAAATGTGCAATATATTTTAATCAGTATTTCTGAGCATAAATTATGTAAGATATCTTCAAAACATTGCAATAAAGTAAGAACATTCAAACTGATTTTTATTTTGTATGTTTACTCAACTAAGTTAGTTACATTTAACCTCATTTTCCCATTCTGGTATCTATTTCTACAGTAAAAACGAGACAAAACAAGGTTAGGTTTCTCCGTCCAGTAAAACTATGTTTCAGTGTACATTGCACACAGAAGAGAATTACTTTTTTTAAAATTTAACCTGTTTTGCCCTATTGAGATAACAGATCTCGTTTACAAACCTGGGCAAGACAGCAGCAGCATCAATAAGATTTCACAACAGAGTGGTAAATTAATAAAGGTCTGGAAACACTTTCACACAGACTCAGCTACCACAGCTTTAAATTAATCAGAAATACATATATATATATATATATATATATATATATATATACTTTTTTTTTTTTTTTGCCGATGCGGTTAGTCCAAGATTTTTCCAAGCATCAGATGTCGAAAACCCAAAAGCTTTCTTTTGCACTTCATACGCTTGGAATGACCGTTTTCAAAAATGTCCATTGAACAATGAATGTACTTTGTGTAGTCATATTTCAAAAGGGCTGTTTAAAGAGCATCCAGAACCAGCAAGGTGGACATAACGACCACTGACGATATCCGTCCACTTCTGGCTTCTGTCGAATACCAATGAAAACGTCTAGAAGAAATCGTATAATCAAAACAAAGTAATTGATGTAATTATAATCGAACCACTGTGAAACATGACTAGAAATGCAGGACGCTTAAAAAGTAACTTATTATACCATGCATTTTTGCAGTGTATATCCAGTGAACTCCACAGAACAATTATTTGCATAATATGACCGCTAAGTTTGCTGTTGGCGGAAATAAGTTAGAAGTGGTACATATCTTACATGATAAGCTTATTGTTTGCTATTCGATCGCAGGTAGTGCACCCTATCCTTGATATTGTCTTTGACCGCTCCAGTCTCAGAGGGGAGTCTGACCATTTGAACCACTCGCCTAAAAGCCTCCTCGACTCCGAACCCCGTCGAAGCGGAGCAAGGCTGAACGAGCCAGTCCCGACCCGCGCACATCCTCCTCATGTTGAACCTGTCCTTCATCTCGGTGACGGTCAGCGCACCGCTCACGTCCTGCTTGTTGGCGAGCAGAACGACCGGGCAGCCCCGCAGATGGTCGCTGCGCAGCGCCCTCTCCATCTCACTGCGCGCCTCGTCCATGCGCCCAAAGTCCGAGGCGTCCACCACGAACACGACGGCCGCCGCGTTTTGGTAATAGTCCTGCCAGTGTTCGCGCATCTTGTCCTGACCACCGACGTCCCACACGGTCACGGCGATGTTCTTCCTGTTTTTTCTGGCGTCCAACATCTCCACGTTAAAGCCGATCGTCGGGACGGTGGAGACGCTAGCGTTGTGCTTCAGTTTGTAGAGAAGAGTGGATTTTCCAGCGTTGTCCAGGCCCAGAAGAAGGACTTGAACCTGTGGTTTGGAGATCGGGTGGCCCATGGCGGCGTGAATTCACACAGACTCTTTAGTGGTATGAGGGGCAGCCGCATAACCGGCCTGGTGTCTTGTTTGCATAATGCGTTGCCCGGAGTTTAATAGATAAGCTATTATCTCTGTGCTGACTATGATTCACTGTACACTGATAAGTTGCGGAAACGGGGGCAAAGTTTCGACCTATCCTTCATTTGGAGTCACACGATTTTTCCACCAACCAAAAATAGTTTTATTCTTGACCACGTCTCTTTCAAATGTAACCATTTAGCTTACATGCTGCTAAACCTATGACTAAAAATATGCATTTAGACATGATATTTTTATGGGAACATTATGAAGGGATGAGTGATTAGGTATTTGTTTAACAGGTAGTGACGGTTGTTGAATAAATAAATGACATCCTACCATCCTCTTTGTGGTCATAAAAGCAGAATATTCCTTTTTGAACTTCACAAATCGAAACTGTGTTTTGAACAATTGCAATGTTTTGAAGATATCTTACATAATTTATGTAATAATTCAAGTTTGAGCGCCCTGAATATAAAAGCTTTTATACTTTCCTGTATCTGTTGTGTTCGAAACACCTGAACAAGCAACTGAACGTTCCCATTTCTCACAACAAAATCGATAAGGATTTTATTAACTTTAAATTATGTTTTAGAAAATGTATGCAACAGAACAAGACTTCAACTCAGCAGTTAAAGTGTATTTGAAACCACAAAAGTAAAAAAACAAGCACCAGATTCCATCAAAAAAGAAAAAAAAAATTTTATTTATAAGTGGAATCAGTAAATATGATGCTAATTTCAGCAATTATAGCACTGTTGGTGTGCAGACATATCAAACAGCCCTTTGGGGGTAAACAAACATCTCTCTTCTGCCCCTCCGTGTCAGAAAGTACTATAGTTAACACGTGACTGAGACAATAAATTTACAATTTTTAACAATTTAAAAATCCACTCAACTTAATGACAAATCCAAGTAATCATAAAATATTTTAAATATAAGCAATATTTGACCATCATGATACAAGACTATAAATCTTTACGCCTTCCCCTGATTGAGTATAAATCAAGTTGCATTAGGCAATTAAACTTAAATCAAGTGTGGAAAATGTTATTCATGGAGTCTGTGTACTCAAAACAACAGACGCTAAAATGTTCAATGTAGACACTGGTGTCAGACACACCACATCTTTCAGTAAGAACAATTTTAAAAATAATTTAAAAAAAACATATGCACAAATAATAAATAAAGTGAAAAGAAATGTGGTCAGACTTAAAAAAATGCACTAGTTCTAATTCTCAATGTTTTACATTCAAACTAAAATATCAAGACATAATAAATACAAATCAGTTGCATTTATTTTTTTCATTTTCAGTGCTCTAGCAATGAACATAAATAAATAAAAAGGAGAGAAAAATAAATAAAGCTCAGGTCAGACTTTGGAAGGTTCTACAGATACACATCCCAATCAAAGTGGTTCAAGCACTTTATCAGACTTGACTTCTCTCGTTGCTTTGACTTCTTTAATTTTACTCAAACGACTGTATCCATAGCAAAATCTAATGGATCAATGTAGATGAGCAACACATGGCAGTACACATGTAACACCGTGTTTGTAAACGCAGGCTTCTGCTTGCTCAGCATAACCCACAGTTACACTTAAATCACTGCAGTGATCGGTGTACAACCTCCTCCCCAGAGACTAACAGGCCTTCACGCCCACCCCGCTCCACAAGCTGCAGTGTAGCTGAGCATCAGCTTTAGGGAACCCAAATGAAAGGAACCTCGAACAGGAAGGTATTCAGTCACGGCTCGACTGATTCTTCCGGTAAAAATCCATGGCGTTCCATTGTTCAAATTCTCTTCCCATCAGGATCTGGTCCATTTTTCCCTCGGCTTCACCCAGACGCCACCAGTTGGGTTATCCATCACGTACACCAGTCCCTCTGTGTCAGGGCGACTCAGAGGCCAGGAGTGGGCTGAGGAGTTCTCCGTGGTCCGGGCAGAATGGCGTAGACATCTCATCGGAGACGGCACCTTCCTCTGAATGTGAACGACGGAGGACGGAGTAGGGGATGGATCCATTTTCGGGCTCATGTCTTCTGGACAACAGCGGTAGAAAATAACGCGGGCTTCGACAGAGGCTTTGGATTCGTGTTGCCCCATGCTGGTTGAAAACTCACGTGACTTATTGACGGCTCCCAAAATGAAGTAAATGTTGTTCTTTCTTCCCACAGGCACTCTTCCCTCTGTTGTCAATACCCTTCTGTTCTTTCGCTTATATTTGCCAAGTACACACGGGAAAGTAAAGTGTTCCGGTAACACTGAAGTGTGACACATTTTGCTTATAGGGCTGTTTGACACCAATGCGGGGGTAGCGGGAGGGGCGTGGGCATTGCAATAAGATCATGTTCAAGCTATATTAAGTCAGTCCACCTGCTGCACGCCGTCTCCGACCTTGAGTCAGAGGTGCCACCAAGGGGGACAATGTCCACCCCTATAAATAAATATGAAAAGGCTTGTTCCAGTTATTTTTTTTTTTTCCATGGTACAGAGTACAGTGACCTGTGAAAGTATTCACCTCCTTCAGATTGTTCTGTGTTTTGCCACCTCTCAACCTGGAATTAAAATGGAATATTTTCGGATGTGCATAATTTCATCTACACAAAAACTACAACTTTGAACATTTCACTTTCTTCTTTTTTGAGTTTGCTTCGTTTGATGCGTCACCCCAAGACTGCTATCCATTTGCCTTCCCTTGCCTTCTCATTTGGGCCCCCTTACAAAACTTACTGAGGTGCTGGAAGAGGTATTAGGAGTTGTGTACTCTCCTTTCAGGGCGACTTATCTTGCATGGATGACATTGAGAAGAAGCTATTTCTAACCCAACGGGAGCATAGCTGGTGCGGTCCGACAAGCTCATGCGTTTCCCAGCTTTAGCTCACCAGTAGTGACTCATGTAGGAGCCACAGTAAACTGACCGATTTACAACCATGTGTTTATTTAGACACAGCGTCCTTGTTATGAGCACACAGCTCATTCAAATTCCAGAAAAGGTGATGAAAAGCACAACAGGATGGCTTTATCTGATGACAACTGCTTATGTTTTCATGTTTCGTGCTCTTGAGCAAGGTACTTAGAACTAGCAGGTTCTAAATACCTGTGATCTTGCACGTGCTTTTTATCTTGCCACGTGCGAGATAAAGACATGTATACAAACACTGATATGTAAAGTACTAGAAATGATTTTTTTTCTGGCTTCTGGTATTACAGATTTGCTAAAAGATGCATATTTTATATAGATGAGCATAGTTTAAATACTCAGAATTCAAACTTCTCAAGAGTAAAATGTTTTTATTGTAAACTTCTACTGAGGTACAGAAGGACAGAGATTAAACATACAGTATGCAGATCTTCTCGATCTGCCAGAGACATCCAAAACTCAATAAATAAGGCATCAGGTAACCTGTTAAATAACAATAATAATAAAAAAAAAATAGCTCTTATGGTTGCACTCAGATGATAACATAGTCATGGTTTACAGTGTAGGAAGTGAAAGCAGTAGTAAATCAAGTGTGGCTTACTGGAACTTTCTCTGACATGTCGCTGCTGCCCGTGAAGTCAGCTGCATTGCTTCAAGAGCATATCCGCTTCATTACCAGCAGCATTCCCTTTATAGGCAAGGAGTTCACGATGAATCATCATTTAATTTGTTTCATCACCCAAAGTCTTGTGTGCTCATCTGGTCAAAAACTGCGCTATGACAAGCACTTTAAGTACAGTATTTTGTTCATCAACAATGAGATGGTGCAGATGGTGAAAACATTGAAAAGATGTAGATTTTTATGTTTTACAAACATAAAAACCTTTCAATATTCCTAAGGGTAGTGTTACTATTGGCTGATATGTCCAAATAACCATTAAAAATTGCGAGCACTCTGAAAAATCATTTTGTTTTCCCAGCTTTTAAGTGCATGTTTAATAAATGAACTAGGCATTTTGGCCATAATTTCTCTTTGAGTATCACCCACCTTCTGCAGACTTGAAAGAGTTAAAACAATCTGAAGGGGGGGGGGGGGGTCATTTTCTTGAAATTAGATTTCAGTAGGGGTCATTCTGCAAAGGAAAAGGAGAAGGAAAATTGACGGAAACCTTTTAAACAACTCCATCAAAGCCTGTTCACAGAAGAAAAAAAAATCCCATTTACATCGATGATCTCAGCTTTGCAAATCCTTTTTGGCGGTCACTTCCAGGAAAATCAACAACATACACATTAGCGAGAAACAACAGCCCAAATGTGGATCAGCTGACACAAAACAACCAACGTTTTTTTTTCTTTTTTTTTCTTTTTTTTTGTTGTGACAAAACTAATGTTGAAGTCAGGATCATCAAGAACTTCTGCCATGCTGTTTTTAATCCAGCCTTGAATGCATGTGTATCTAAAGAATGCATCTTACATGGGTCTGAACAGATAGAAATGTAGTGTATTTTGTGAAAAATCAGAATGTGTTACACCTATGTAGTATGTGTGTGTGTGGTTTGAGGCAGCCCCACTTTGTATAATCACTGTTTCCTTTTTATTCCAGTTTTTCTAGACTCTCTGAGAATGGAGGCACACTTCCCCATAAACTGCCCGCAAGTGTCATAAAGTGGTCAAATGATTATTAGCCAAAATAATTAGAGCAGCTCCAGAGCAGCTGGAGTCACTTAAAGCACTCAGCTGAGGCAATCAAATCTTCTTCAGCCTAGAAAGAGTGTCTGCATATTGTAGGTTGAAATGTTACAAATGACAAACGATAGCAACAAACGATAGTATAATTGTTTTATGGACTTGGTGAAATCTTAGATTACATATTAGGATAAAAAAAAAAAACTAAGATTATTTAAAAATAATCATATGCAAATTCTATTTTGTTTGAAAAAAAAAAAACAATTAACTATTTAATTTTTCATTTCAGAATTTTACACTTTTTTTGACTACTTTTTTGGAAGACAGCTTACAGATGTAGAAACATGTGCTTCTTAAGAGTTCGATAAGTAAAGGACCTCTAAAGTCACAGCAGGAGCGCTGTGTCGTCTGACGCCCTACCGGTCGTGTCGACAGCTTATTTATTAGAATCCATGCAGTTCAGCATGCATTAATGCTGAATGCATGCTGAGGGCGAGACTGTCAACACTAAACGGGAACCATTCAAGTATGCAGGGGGTAAGTTTCGTACACTCAAAGGTTAGATCTGTGCACAGCGTTGCCTCAAGTTAATTAAGTATACTGGATCTGCTGCAGCCTTGTTGTTTAATATGACAAATTGCTTCTGTTCAGTAAGAAAGACTAGATACGTACAATTCAGAGCATCATCGTATTACCACAAGCCCGTGGTTTTGCATTTACAGTTTTAGCACCTTCCTATAGTAACACAGTTTCTCCTAAAAGCATCCCGTAAAAAGCTCCCAGTGGAGTTGTACTGTCCATGTGCAATTTACAGTAAACAGAAGTAAAGCAGTCACAGTCTGGTATGTGCTGGTTAAGAGAAAATCCCCTGTGTCTGTAGTAGTTCTGTACTTACTCTGCACTTATGTTCTTTTTTTGTTTTTTCAAGAATTGATCATTCATACAAAGGTTAGTTACAGTATGTTTAAATGTCCTTTTCTGAATAAATTGACAATTGAAAAACAAAGCTTTGTTCTTACATGAGGAAATTTATGTGTCGACTTGTTATAGGTACACACCTCAGCTTTCCTGTAACCTTCCTGCTGCATCCAGACGAGGGGTTAAAAAAAAAATCCTTCTGATCACAGTGTGAGCTCCCCAGACCTACACACCGGCCTTGCTACTGCCCCCGGCTCCGCTTTTAAACTTTACCACCATGACTGTGATGTTGTCGGGGCAACCGCGGTAGAACGACTGGAGCACGATGCTCTTGGCGCCGAAGTGAGGCTCGTCCAGGCGCTCGCGGACGAAGCGCACTGCCTCCTCATTACTGAAGGCGTCCCAAAGACCGTCAGACGCCAGGATCATGAACTCAGGCTGCAGTTTGTCCAGGTCAAAGGTCATTATATCTGGGTCGGGAATGACCACGTTGAGGTTCTTGAGAGGGTAGTCGCCCAAGGAGCGAGACATGGCCAGGATTCCCTGAACTCGCCAGGATCCGTTAAAACTGATGAAGCCGCCTGCAGGTAAACATTAGTACAAAGTTATTACAGAAAAAAAATGTCTACTTCTGTTTTCAAAGAGCTATTAAAACAAATCGTGATGTTGTGATTATGACCACGAAATGGCTTAGCTGTTTTGCAACAAATAATAATAATAATAATAATAATAATAATAATAATAATAATAATAATAATAATAATAAAAGACCATTTGAGCAAAAGTCTAAGTACTTTGTAAAAAAAAAAGAAAAAGAAGTCTAATGAGATAAACTGATATCTAGTCTTGAGTTAAAGTGGGTAAAAGTTCTTAAAAAAAAAACTGAACTATTTTACAGATGAAATGGCCACCATAGATATTCCTAAATGACCTAATACATTTTAGGAAAAACTGGGAAAAACTTGAATAGAAATATAGAAGCTGCATTACATAATCAAAATGCAGAATTCGCTGAGATATGAGTGTGTAGATTTATTTATTTATTTTTCATTTTCCGATGCAGTATATTTTAACAGAATGCTATTTTGGATTCCCCCTGTAGATGGCAACAAAGAACACTAAAATCACACCGAAGGGTGTTGCAGTAGATTATGTTGGATGCATTGCAGCACTGCCTCAGCATGTACCTGCTCTCTTGATCCTCTTGCGCTCTTTCAGCTGATATGGCTTGTGGTCGTGTGACAGTGCGACGGCGTTCCCGTCTTTGTCGCACAACACTCCGCGAGAGTCTCCGACGTTGGCCACAGTGAGCTCTCTGTCTGACAGCAGAGCCATCAGGCACGTTGTACCTGAACGAGACGTTCAAAGGGAACGACAGAAACCAGAACATGTTTAAAAATCACATCATAAAAAATAAAAAATAAAAATCAAATATTTAAAATGTAATCAATATCTTGGTTTAGTAATTGAAAAATATTGTTGCTAAGAGTAAATGTATTTTCGTTTTACAAAAAAAAAATTATCTGAAAAGTGTATTTGCATCTTTTCCTGAAACTTTCCCTACAGGGTGTGTTTAGGATTATGTAGAACAGATTTTTTTTTTTTTTTATTTTTTACCAGAGATTGTTCTAGAGTATGTGATAAAAAAGAAAAAAAATAAATTATTGCGCCAAAAGTTTATCACAGTTTATCACGGTTTCTCCCTTCACTGGGCTGCTGCGGTTCACGTTAATTTATCCCCCTCCCTCCGTCCCTCTGTCCGCCCGCCTCCCCCTCCCGACCTGCTTCATCATGGTTGGCGGAGAGCTTGTCCAGCATCTCCCGATCCACAGCCAGGATGCGCTGCTCAAGAATGCTGGCGTAAGAGACAGCGCTCTCCCTCTTCTCCCTCTCAAAGGCCTGCAGCTGCTGCCTCAGAGACTCAGGCAGGTGGGCCTTGGCATAATCAGCTGCAGCCTGCGGCAGACAGGAAGCCAAAGGAACACAAACAGACCCACAGTGGCGATTAGAGATACGACAAGAAAGTGGAGGCACAGACAGAGCAGAGTTGTGCTATGCGTGGATGCCGTCAGTGAGCTCAGAAATGCCGTGCATGTGACGGAAATACGCACAAAGAGAACAAGGTTTGCTTTGACTTGATTTTGCCAGATTTTTGTCAGAACTTTATTATAAACTGAGCTGACATGTTTTTCTATGAGTCTTTGGGTATAGTTTTCCCATATGCCATTAAGCTGCGCTGAGCAAGCAGCTAGTCTGAGCTGAATCATTGAACAGCCTCCTCATCCTGCACAAACATCTACGTACTTGCTTCTTCCCTCGGTTTTCCTGCTAGAATTTTATTTAGACCAAAAAGTACAATTAACCATCTTAATTCCTCTCTTTTATACAGTCAATGTGTCTTACAAGCAGATGATTAAAAATAATTTCACATTATTCTTGGAGCTGCTTTCTGATGTGGCGATGTGCTTAAACAGTTTCCAGCAAATATGACCTTTCATGTGACGTTTGCTTTGAATTTCTATTTTCAGAAGTAAAGCTTCACTTGGCAGTGACTTGACTGCGCGCAGCACAAAAGACAGCCACAATGCTGCAGCGAAGTTACAGTGCTAACGATCGCAGCACCCCTCTCTTCAAACAGTTTGTCGTCATGCAGAATGTGAGATTGCAAATCCGCTGCAGCAAAGGTGTGTGAACCAGAGGAGAGGTATTAGGCCCGAGATTACGAAATTTTAGATAGAAACAAAATCCTACTTAACATGGGAGAAACATCATCACCTTTCTGCCCCTCCCCCTCGCCTCCCGTTCTGCTTAAAGGGTACTTGCGCATTATTTAATTGGATAGAGTGGTACTCTTGGAGACTGGATGAGGAAAAGAGCTTAAAGTGCTGTTTTCCATTTGCAGCAAACAGCAAAAAAAGAAGAAGAAGAAGAAAAAAACGGCAGGATTAATGCAGTTGCAAACCTTTTTAATAGCCAAAAGATTTTTACTGCTGGTGTATTTAATTAGTGAATGTAAAATATGGGAGCCGTGGTATTAAAAGTGGACTGATGTGTAGCCTGGGTTTCTTGCTGACATCACTGTTATATCAAAATGGCTTTGCTCCTCTCTCAGCCTATGGCTATAAACTTGAATTTGATAGAGCAAAGTTGTAAACGTGTGTGTGTGTGTGTGTGTGTGTGTGTGCGTGTTTCCACAACATCAGTCTCTGTAAATCAAGCTGTGAAAGCAGCAGCAGCTAGTGCTGACTTTCATTTTCAGGGGCACAACTCATGATTCAATGAATACAGCAGGGGAGGGAGAAACACAGACATGTCTAAAGAAAAAATGTTCTTTGTATTTTCAGGCCTGGGACACAACACACTGGTCTATTTCTCCTCATATGGCTCTGCAGGAGCATCACTATGTTCAACATAGTTTCTATGCATTCACAACTGATTCCAAAGCAGGAAACTGTCTTGATGCTTGAGAGGAGATAAGTGGAAAAAATATATGGAAAAATGGGTAAGCAAGTACATGCATACAAAAATATGAAGTAAACAACAAAAAGTAACCTGACATAAAACAATAGCTGCTGCTGTGAGATATTGCCATTGAGGGCGGGAGGGGCGTCGGACTGATAAGAGCAACAAATATTAGTTTGTAGGAATAAAATAAACAGAGAAGTCCAAATGAGCAAACACCAACTACACTGTGTCTGTTGCCACAGCATGTAGGACGGGCGCATCTGACATTTCTTGTAAACCAGACAAAAGACCATAAAAACGCTCCATTTCCGAGATTTAAACTTAAATAGCCATTAAAAGTAAAGTTTTATTTATTTTTTTAATATGTAAACAATTGGACAGTGACCAGAAATGGAAACTTTCAGGTTGACTTCAGCAGTTCCTCCGGTGTGTTGAAGGAAAAAATTGCACTAAATTTTGTCACTGAAATGACACTAACAACATTTTTCCACAAATATCAAAATCTCATACAATAAAATGCACTCATTCATTTATCTTAAGCCTGAGAATTAAAAGTAAGTGGCAGGTTCTCTGAAACTGACAGGAGGTTTTTCTATTTCTATTTCTAAGGTAGATATTTACAACTAATCATTTTCCAAACGGCCGTGCAACACTTGCAACTCTAACAAGTTTTATTTAGCTAGAATGAGGTCAACAATTGGTTAATGCGTCATACCTATGCAGTAACAAGTCATGCGAGCCAGAACACTGCAGTATGGACGTGTTGTGGAAGGAGACTCAAAATTAGCTTTATTCAGTGTCAGTAAGACGTTTAAAAAGGAGGGGAACACACACACACACAGTTGACACTCACCATGCTAACTGCTAAAAAAAGATACAGTTTAAGAAATCAACTATAGCAGTCATTGTCAAAAGTGCTTCTACTCATTACAGTCTAGAAAAATATATCTTGGAATGCTGCTAAAATTGTAACGAGGCTTTTCACAGAGAAACAGAAACTGTTAAGCAAGTTTCTTAAATATTCTCATTGAATTTTACAAACCGATTACGTTACATTTCTTAATATACAGATGCAGTTTTGTTTTCCAAAGACAAAAACAAAACATAGTTCACTTGCAATCCACTTGCAGGAGAAACTGTGACAGAATCAATCACTATACAAGTTTAACTATTTATTATTTTTGGTATAACGAGTGAGGAGTAAACAAGACTTGTTTCATGCACTGAAAGTCATGTGAAACTAGGAAGTGTTTTCATAGCCAGGCAGGGCTCTCACATTTAATTCAGTTCAGTTTGTTTATAAAGCGTCAATTCACGACAAGGAACTGTGTCATGGAACGACGGGCTCTAAGATTTCAATGTCAGGAAACGTCGACCAGCAAACAGAAACAGAAGCCGACTCTCTTAAATATTTAAGCAGCGTGAAAGCATATTTGTGACGATAATGTTAATTATAAACTTGTTTCTTGTTTGTTGCAGAGAGTACGGGGCTCATAGGATTCATCGTTCAGAGAAGTCTCAAACTACACACTCCCGGTGACAGATGGCGTCTGAAACCAGAGGTCGTCAGGCACAGCATGAGAAAATGCTGACCCTTGACAGTGGAGGGAGTGAATGAGGGACAAAAAGCACACACACATACACACACAGCACACAAAGCTCATTGTTACAACCCTTCAAGTCAACTCCCTGAGAGCCACAGCCATTGTTAGGGTGTTAATACAAGAAAATACAAACAAGGAATAAAAAATAAATAAATAAAGGGGGAATGACTGTTTGGTTTTAAAAGTTTATGAAAATCCAAATAGTCAAAGCAAATGATTTTTTGGTTAAAACTTTGTAATTCACAATTTCTCCCCTTACATGAGGAAAATGTTGCCTCCTCACACGAGGAATGTAGTTTCCCTGGCAAAAACTAGGATTTCGTCACATTTTGTCTTCGTTGATTCAGATCGTTGTTAAACTGAAAACAAACGCAACATCCACCGCATCTAAACTCACTGCAGCAGCTGTAGCGAAGCGGGCCTGCCATACAGTACCTCTCCCCCGTGACCGTCGAATATCCCGAATATAGACGGGTGGCTCTTGTTGGTGATGTCGGTGAGCACCTCGAACCGGTCCTCCATGTGATCCCTCCTGCCCTGTATGGAGTACACGGCCACGTTGTTATTCTTGAACTCCCACGTCTTGGAGAACTCCGCATCCAGGACGCTGAGGCCTCCAAGGCGGTCGTTCTGCATCATCTCCGCCACTTTCCCCTTCACCATCTTCACGGCATCCCGGCTGGACTTGACGATGGTTTTCACCTCGTCGGTGTGAAAGAAGTAGCTCCACAGCGCCAGACTGATACACAGCAGGAACAACGTCTCCGGCCTGAGAAGAAAATAGCGCATGATCCGACCCAAAAGAGACAGGAGCGTCATTGTGTCTCCTATCATCACACGCAACCGAACTGCAGTCTGACTACCCCTCCTCTTTTGGCACGGTTCACTCCATCCGCTTCGCGGAGCTGTGAAGAGATTGATTTACTATCACGATGACGGACAAAAACGGAATTTAGGCTCTGAAAACGCTTCTCCGTGGGGTGGCTTCTCCAGCGTCTCCCAAGCGCATTCGCGCACTAATCGGGTGGAGAACCAACAGAACACTCTGTCGGTGACTCTGACCGATGTCTTGGTCCTATCCTCGGCTCCCTGAACAGCTGCAAGGGAGCTGAGCAGATCTCCCAGGTCCCATCGCTGAATGGCCGAGTTTTTGGGTCAGACGCACATCGGAGAGCGAAATGAGAGTCTCAATGCTGTGACTTGGAGGTGTCCTCCTTTTCCGCCTTTGACCCCTTTTCTTAAATGTGTATTTAGCCTCCGTATTAATATTATTTTTTTTCACACTACACGCCTCATTTCTTGAAAATTGTCACGAGAAACGGGAGACGATGGGGACACAGCCGGAAGTGGATTGCTTGTCTTAATAAAGCTAAACACGCGACAGAGAAACAATAAGGTCTGGGCAGAGCTTTGCTAGAGAAGCCTTTATTCTGAAAAGACGAATCGGAAGTGGTTTCTACAATGAGCAAAGTGGCCCTAAAGTCCATAGAAATAATATAAGGATAGACGCCTCATGGACCGCTCTCGCATATTGTCGCTGACGAGATTTAGGGCGGCCATCTTGGAGCGGTACTCCACTCCACTCAGCGTTATGTGTTTAGCAGCACAATGACGTATCAGCGCATTTAATCGATCATAACACACTTTTTTGTTACTGTAAACCATATTCAAACATCTATCAAAGCTACATTTATAAACAATTGTATTTTTAAAGTATTTTTTAATTGTATTGATACATAGTTCAGCATATTTAAATATGCTTAGTGGGGAAAACAATAGAACAGGAATGGAATATTCTGATATTGATGTATGAAGAGCATATTACAAAGCACACAGCCGTTCATCATTTATTTAATAAATTATGTAATATCAATACATATTTATATAACTATACAAACACTAATAAAGATTAATAATGGCACAAATAAATAATGATTAATACTGAATTATATATATATATATATATATATGTTTTTCAGCCGACGAGTCCAAAATCCGATGTGATTCATCCGTGCTGCAGTGAATCCGTCTCTCTTTATAGATATCTCCCTCTTCTTCCTCACATCGTCTTTAGGAAACTTTCAAAACAAAAACGGAAGATTTAGGATGTATCTTACTTTTGACAGACTAAAAGGATATAAATAATAGTCTTTACCACCTGTGTAAACTTTGCCGGTGAATGTTATAACACATAATATAAGTTTTATAATATGTGTTATATTGTTTAATTTCATATATATGCCCTTGTGTCAGATAATCTAAGTCAATGTTAGAGAATAATTAATTTTTTTAGATGTACGGAATCTCAGCTAGCCTTCATAGCGGGGCTGAACCCGTATTACACCAAGCACTGTAGCTAATATTAGCTGGTATCTCGCCGGTGGACATAAATACAGTAAAGTAATATTCTAATCACAATATATACACAATAATATGTCCATCTTACTTGTGAAATGTTGTCTGTGGAGCCTTTACATCAATAATCCATAGATCCAAACAACAATATCCCTCAGTGCTGAGGCATCTTCTGCTGTTTTGATTGAGGAAAGTAGGAGGGCATACCGCCGTATTTCCTGCGCCGGAGCGGCCAATGCGGGGTCTACTCTTATATTATGTATGTGCTAAAGTCCATAGACATAATAAGCATATCTCAAAAGTAGCTAAAGCTGCTTTTGGCGCTCTACCTGCACAGATTTGTTATACGCATGGGAACTTCAATGTATTTGATTTGGTCAACATATTGAAAAGAAGGACGGAATCTATATACCACTTGACAGAATTCCTGCTGCAGAAATGAAGGATATAATAACATGGGGAATCTAAATGCCTTTACTCATTTGGCAATGGCTTTCATAGTGCATTGTTTGAGGAATCAGAATTCCCAGTCTCAAGGTTTTCAAGCATAAACTTGCCCATAACCTCCATGCTCTAAAATTCAGTCAGATTGCAGCCAAGATTAAACTCATGCACCATAGACAGAGAAATAAACAAAGTTCTTTCAGTTTGGCAGGGTAATAATGGAATACCTAAGACTAAACCTTGTTCCTGCATTTGAATGGCCCAGCCAAAGTCCAGTCTCTATGTTCTCTATGAAATAGCACCAAAGACCTAAGATCCATTCAGTTTAACTAAGCTTGAGCGTAGCTAATACTTTGGGGGTAAATCTTAAGCTTATAGCTGTTTTAGATTTGTATAGAAGCTGAAGAGCACATCGATGGAAAGAGCAAACCTCAAAAGGCGTTTGAAGAGATTTGCATGTGGAAGCTTGACATTAACGTCAGATATTCTGACACTTAATCAGTGTTAAATTTCCATTATGCTCCTCTGGATTTCTGGGCTGATTCTTAGGTGTGCTTGGTCAAGGAAGTAAATGGTTGGCTTGGGGTTTCAATGCCATCTGTTTCAAGACATTGATCCTCCTCCCACAGGGTGTACAGTGATCCATTGATCTGCTTTGAAGTACTGCCAGACGGTGTGATCACTACCCTTTACACTTGGTTTGTTATGAAATGCCTTTTACTGCAAACTGTGTCCGAACTTGTACAGCTAAACAAAATGCGTAATGCTAACAGAACCTTTTCTAAAATTGCATGTCTTCTTGTTTTCAGAAAAGCAAAACAAATAACTCTTTAATAGTTGATGTAGTCTCGGGGGACCGTATTCATATCCCATTTGCAAAGAAGAAGAAAGTCTGTCTTTGTACACAACCTGCTTTTGTTTCGTATCCATAAAGAGTCACACAATCTGTCCAGTCCAGCCCTCCTGCGTCTTGATAACCCTCCGTGTTTTGTTCTTTCATTGGTGTGAAGGTGCCGAAGTTGGGCCACATTAGCAATAAAAAAGAGAGGCTGTAAACACCACCAGTCCCTGCTTGGTTGGGATGGAGTGAAGAATCATCACAGTCTACATAACCAGGTAAATATATATTTTGCTTCTGGATGCTTTTCCTTGCTGCAGAGCTCCTTTCCAGAAAAATCTTGAAATTAAACTTTAAAATAAACTTGGATTTATCACTTTAAATATGAGTATTTTCAACACAGATGGGCTATTCAGATTCATGACTGAAATGGCATTGTGGTCAGAAAATATGAAGAAATACAAATGTTGATGCCAGCAACATGCTTAAGAAAGTTTTGAGCTATAAATCTTTAACACGTTATGAGCTACGTTTCCCATTATCTACACTTCTTGATTAGGAAAATGTTTCCTTTTGTCATGTCGAGTCCAGTTTATTTGTATTTGTATCAGCAATGAGGCAATTCAAACTGCTTTGCATAATAAAAGTATGTAAGGCATGTTTTTTGTGACAGGTACACAAACAAACAGACAAAACATATTACATAATGGAATATTACTTGTGAAATTTTAATATATCAGGAATGCTTCATGCAAAGGGAATCTTCCAGGTCAGTGACATCAGTGCACCCACATTCTATCACAAACTCTTGCCGTTGTATTTGTTACTGATAAATGCTTCAACCATTTCCAATTTCATAAAAAGCAAAAGTCCAGCAAAAGTCCAGTTTTTTTTTTTTTATTTTAAACTGAAATGACTTCTGCACAGATAATTTCAGAGTTTGTGTTCAATATAGGACTTCCATCGTTTTTATTTCAGTTCCACAATACGATTTTAGAAACAACAGCACCGTGTTGACTGGCAGGCTTTTTCCAAAGTGTGTCTGTTTTTGGTCTTTGGGATTTTACCACATGCTTTCTAAATCCTTTTCCAGTTTTTAAGATCTGCATGCTTTAAAAAAAATACTGTATTCAAATGTCATGACTGTAGGGGACAGAAAAAATATGTGGAGAAAAAGGTGCTTACGCCCTGGTACCAATATGGTGGTGGCAGCATTAAAAGGTAAACTGGTCAGAGTTTATTGAAAGTCGGATGAAAATAAACACAGGGACATTACTGTAGAAAACCTGAGAGAGGCTGTCAAAGCTTAGAGTCTTGGCCATTTGTTAGCTTTCTACCAAGACAAAAACCCTCCACCAGGGTACAATGAATGGCTTAGATGAAAACAAATTGCTGCGTTATGATAGTCCAGTCAAAGTCCAGACAATTTAGAAGCACACGCAAGGACACAACTGAACACAATACAGACAATTGACTTTCCTATTTTAATTTACAAAAATCAAAATAGGAAAACCTTCTATTATTATTCTTCCACTTCACAATTTTATCCTATTTTGTGTTTGACTAACATGAAATCATATGCAGTACTCTGACATCATTAGCTGAAGTATGACAAGATGTCGGTTTTTGCATTGCATTGTCCATTTAATGCCAAGAGTAATGGTTTGGAACAATAAGGAAAATTGGAACATGACCTTTAAACTTATTGTCAAAATGAGTCAAAATACACTGCAGAGGAAACAGCTATTCAAAGCACATCTATTTTACTCAAATATGAAACCCCTACTCATAAATATTAAACCTGTTGTGAAATATTTCACAGTAGTCCAAATTCATTTTAGTGAAAATTTGAATGTTATTTTTCATTTGAACGAGAAGATTGAACTCCACCTCGACCTATAATGTCGACAGAACCGACTTTTTGATTGACTTTCAAAAACGATGCCGCTCTTCTGAAAACAGGGATTTTTTTTTTTTTGTCTTGCGAATCTTTGAAATAAACAACCAGTAATCCATCTTCTAACTTCCACCCAATCATTCAGCATGCCATCCGCTGATCTCATCCTGGTGACCACTGTCTTTATGGCCTTCATTGTTACGCTCACGTCTGGTGCCAGGACCACACACTGGCCCAAACCTCAGAACACCAACAAGCCTCCTCAAACTGGGACTGGTGGCTTAGGTGGAGGAGGAAGGTCTGGACAGATTGCGACAAAAAACCCGTCTATCTCCAGCAGCCTGCACACAGAGGAAACAACTGGGTTTATGACGGACGGATACTCCCTGTCCCCAACAGACAGCAGCACCGTCAACAGTGAGGCTTACCCAACCGAGTACCTCGCTGATGCAATCCTGCCCCCTGGAAACGCCCCAGGAAATTATACTTTTGACTACAATGAATGCTTCTTCAATATGTGTGAGTGCTGTCCGCCAGAGAAAGGTCCCAAAGGACCGACTGGTGAACAGGGGCCGCCGGGGGAAAGGGGCCCTCCAGGTAAGATCGGATCGTTGTTGTCCTTTGAATAAAATTTTGGAGGCCAAACTTAATTTCTCCTCTTATTTTTAGGGTTACCAGGAGAAAAGGGAGAAATTGGACCCCAGGGTTCTCCAGGACCAGCTGGGTTACCTGGGCTCAGTGGATTAAATGGCGAGAAAGGTCCAACTTGTTTGCCACTCTATTTATGCTGTCTGCTTGTCACAAAAAGTTATTTTTGACATATGTTCTTGTTTTTTTTTTTTTTTTACTTCACCAAAACTGCCACAGGTGAAAAAGGAGATCCAGGGCCAAGCGGTTTACCGGGCTCCCCTGGACTGCCAGGGAAACCTGGAGAGAAAGGTTTGTAGCTTCTTCTTTCAAAAACTAGATTTGGATTCCCTGTCAAAACATGGCAATGTTGTTCTCTGTAGATATATTTCTAACGAGGCTGCTGACATGGAATTGGTACCACGTCTGTAAAAATTCAAGAAACCCAAAATATACAAAAAAAAAAAAATGAACATATACACAGTATGTCTGTAAATGATTTCATGTTAGTAGCACCATTACAGATATATTTTGGAGAAAAACATTGATGTGTTCCCTACTTTTATGTCACAGTATTTAAAATTAAAATGAACAAACATGCCTGTAAATGGTTAAACTGCATCCCATGATACAAAACCTTCTATAATTTCTCTCCTTCTTTTTTTAATTTTTTTCACATAAACTCCTCACATGCCGTAGGTGATTTGGGCCTCAAAGGAGAGAAAGGTGAAAATGGGATCAATGGGCTGAAAGGAGACACAGGAGAAAAAGGAGAGCCTGGTCACAATGGAACTATGGGCACCGTTGGGCCTATGGGTCCCCCAGGGACAGCTGGGACAAAGGGTCAGAAAGGTGAACAGGGACGTTTGGGAGAATGTCTACTTGGTGAGAGAGGACAGAAAGGTGATCTTGGTGATCCTGGGCCTCCTGGTCCAAAAGGTGAGATGGGTCCTCAAGGAGCAAAGGGCAGTGATGGTTCAAAAGGAGAAATGGGGCCAGCAGGAGAGAAGGGAGACGTCGGCGCAAGAGGGCCTCCAGGTGCAAGAGGAGTAGCAGGAATGAGGGGGGAGAGGGGAGTTAAAGGCGTACGGGGCCCCCGGGGCCCAAAAGGCGATCCAGGTGAGAGTCTGGAGCCGGCTCGATCTGCTTTCAGTGTGGGTTTGTTCCCAAGTCGGTCCTTTCCTCCACCCGGTCTGCCTGTGAAGTTTGATAAGGTCTTTTACAATGAGGAGGGTCACTGGGACCCGGCACTCAACAAGTTCAACGTCACACTCTCGGGAGTCTACTTACTCACTTATCACATCACTGTGCGCAACCGGCCCCTGCGGGTTGCCCTGGTGGTTAACGGGGTACGGAAAGTGAGGACGCGAGATTCCCTTTACGGCCAGGACATCGACCAGGCTTCCAACCTCATCCTGATGCAGCTCAGCGAGGGAGATCAGGTGTGGCTGGAGACCCTGAGGGACTGGAACGGGGTTTACTCCAGCAGCGAGGACGATAGCACCTTCTCCGGCTTCCTGATTTACCCAGACTCGACTACAAAAGCAAGTGCTATGAAAAAGATTTGAGTGCAACTTCTAACTTTACAACTGTCTTATTTTAGCTGTAGCTTGTAGAGGGATATCTCTCAGCTTATGTTTCTGTAAAATGTTGCAGCTTAAAATTCTTTTTTCTTCTTTTTTAAAGAGTTACTCTGATCAAGCCAATTGCTTTGCATGTTTTATTACACTAGGAGAGAGCATCATTTTTTATTTCAGATTTTGTTGGTTGAAACTGCATTAAAATTACTCTGCTTGAAAGAACATTCATGTATGGATTTTCGTTTATTAAGAGAGGCGGTACTAATTTCATAAAGGATTTGGGATTTCAGTAAGAAAATCACATCAATTCTTGAGACCCTAAGTTACCGCAAGTAACCACTAGAGGGCATAATATGCTCATATTTGGCAAAAAAAAAAAATCATTACTGGGGACCACAACGTCGAGTTTTGCATTAAAACACAGGCAAACAGGTTGCAGAAAGAGACTAAAAACACGATATGACTGAAATGTAATATTTGAATCTAGTCACTCGAAAAAGTAAAAATTAACTTAGCTGTCTGCAAACAGAGAAGGTTAATACATCAGCCTTAAACACAATACCAGTCACAGAATTGGATGGAAAACACTCAAAATGTTTTTTTGTCTTTTACTTGATTCACAAAGACTTGGTCTGACTCATAATAGTTAAGTCGAATTGTCTTTCTATAATTAGAATGGAAATACGAATATTAATCATCTTGGCTTACTCTCCTATTAACTACTTATGTCTAACACCAATCAGAACAAATCTGTCATGATAACTGTCAGGCAAACAGATTCTGTGCATGGGGGAGAAAAGCCTCCCAATGCTCCTGAAAGACACACCAGAGATTTAATGCAACTGAAAAACATACTTATTACTCATTTCCTTCAGTTTAAAATAATTTTAACATTACATTCACACACACACGTGTGTGTGGGTGTGTGTGTGTGTGTGTGTTGTATTTAATATTGTGCACACAGATACTTTTATGAACACTGACAGTAGTTTTACTCATTATATTTGGGAAACAAAAACTCAAACTTATGGGTTAACAAAAGGAGAAATATGTTGTTACTATGACTCTGTGTCTGTATCTGTTCCTCCAGGTTCATTACTATCTTTAACTTTGCTACCAAATAGAAGAATATGTGGTTGCTGTCGTGTTTTTTTTTTCCTAATTTAATTTACCGCCAAGCAGTTTTTACTGCTTACCTTCTAAATCAGCAGGACAGCTGTAGTTAGATTTTTGAAATATTAATTTAAACCCCACTTTAATCAATTTAAGTTTGTTTAAAGAAAATTATTATGTTGCTTTTTTTTCCTGACAATATAAAGGAAACGATACAAAACTAAACCAGCGATGCCTGCATACCACAGGAATTTAAAGATTTTGCTACAATTTCTATAAGTTTTAGTAGTCTGGATTTTCCTTTTTGCTGAAGAAGCGTCGTCAAATTCCACTTATTGATGAATGAAAAGCAAATTATGCGTGTGTATGTCTTCACTGACCTGAAATAAAGCTTAAAAAATATGAATGCACATAAACAATGCAACAGAACCTTTCCCCTTTCTTGGATCATTTGAAGCTATAACATCTTTTACAAACTAAATAATATTAAAAACTTTATTTACAATTGCATGTTTTGAATCACCTCAAGCTGCAAACTAGACATACAAAACTGTTTTACATTTTGTCAATCCAGTATATTTGACAGCAGTTATCCACATGTAAACACTTGTGGAAATGTAAACAAAACCTGTTATAAAAGATTTTATTGTCTTCCTGTTTCCTCCAGTTTTCAAATGGAGTCTAATCACTAAGGGTAATGTTAACCACAACTGTTGACTGCAGGGCGTGAACACGTACTTGCTACAAAATTACCATGATGCGAAACATTAGGAAGAAGGAAATGATATTTAGAATGCTGCATTTATGAACACCATCAAATGAGCTTGATGTGTTCTTTAATACATGAATACAGAAGAAACCACGGACATCTGCGGTCACATCCTCTGTTGACAGTAATAAGAGTTAATTGGTAGAAATAAATTAATATGCCTTATGCACATCTGTTTGGCGCAGTTTAGATATATTTTGCGTCATTTCTTTGATCGAATGATACTTGTTAATTTTGCCTTAACGATTTATCTGACTCACAAAGAGAGAATGGCCATTAAAAAATAAATAAATAAATAATAAAAACACTGTCTATTTTAATACCACGATATCTCAAGGAGAACATTCATAATTAATTAAGAGTTCTCCATAATTAGGGGAGCGGCATTTGTAGACATTTACGTAAAAAGACAGAAACAGCAGTGATACCTGTTAAAGAGGAAGGCCCATGACATCTCCATCCACTGCGGAAGAATCCAGAGTGTTTGTCAAATTTCCATCTCATTCTTGCTGCTGCTTGTGGTGACGGCAATTTATTTGTGTCAGTTTGTTGAAATGTTATTTTTGCTTGTTTGTTTATGGACACACACACGCACGCACGCACGCACGCACACACACACACACACACACACTCATGTTTGAGTTGCTATCTTTGTGGGGACTTTCCATTGACTTCCATTCATTTCTACAGCCTAAACCTTACCTTTACCCTTTTCCTAACCCTAACCATCACATTCCTAACCCTAACCAAAACTCAATTCATACCTTAGCCCTAACTCTGACCCCTGACCCAAAAACAGGGTTTCCCTGGTCCCCACAACACAGTATATGTCAGGAAAATCGTCCCCACAAGGTATTACAAACAAACGCACACACACACAGAGGCATAAACGTGTGCAAGTGTCTAAGTGTGTTTGTACATTTTATGTATTTTCAACTACTCGATGTGAAAATATAAATAACTACCTTGGCGGTGTGTGCAGTGTAATCTGTTCCCAGCAGGCTGGATTCCCCCTGCGAGAAAGACAGTATATTGTTCCTGCAGCACCGCAGATAACAACTCATTAGCATACTGAATCATTTGGCTGCAAGAGCCACTCTGCCACCCATCTGCACAGAGCTGATAAACGTATACACATACACACTCATATACACAGCTCGCACCAACAGATCCATGAAATGCGGACGTATACACACCGGCCCCGTTCGCACGTACACACGAAAACACATAAGCATGCGCTCTCTCACACACACATACACGCTCTCTTTCACTCCCTTGCTTTCAGTCCCTCGTATGCTCCCTCTATCCTATCCTTCCCCCTTTTGTGAGCCTGCGTCTTTTCTGAGAGTCAGGAAAAACTGAAGCAGGTAAACGTTTGGCAGGCATTAACCTAGAGAGCCCCTCGGTGGAGTTGCAGCTCAGCCAGAGCGGAGCGCAGGAGAGGTCTCCAAACACCTGGTAGTCTCTGATGCTCTCTGGAAGCAATTATAGCCTTTGGAAATATCTGAGTGCTCAGTGTTGAGGTAGTAGGATGGTGGCATACCCTGTCGCGCAAAGCTAAAGTCAACTTCACCCAAAAGCTGCTTTTTCGCGGATTCTTTTTATTTTATTTTGTTAGTTAAAAAAAAATAAATAAATGATGTTAGTGAAACAGCAGTGAATCTTCCACTGCTCAAGAATCTTATTCGTGTTCAGCGAACGCTTGATCTGAACATCTGTGTTAACAAAACGCGCAGACGCAACAGTGAGCAAACGAGCGCAGCGAAGGCTGTAAAAACTCACTTTCACAATGGCAGGATATCCTGTAGGTCAGCAAGCCATGGTTACCTCCACAGGAAGTTGTCACTTGTTGGGGGTGGAAGTGAGGATCGTAGCTTCCCAGTGAGGGAGTTTCTCTGAAGAGGTTGTGGTTTTAAACTTTACTCCGCGTTCAAATGAAGCGGGAAATAATTGCATGGCATCGCACTTGCCTGCTCGTTTAGATAAGTAATTTATGTTTTACTGCCGTGAAACAGAAAGCGAGACGTAGTGAGAAAACCAAAGGTAAAAGATTTGGGATAAAAACAATAAGTTCTCGAGCTATGAAGTTATCCAAACCGGTGTGGAGCCGGTTTGGATAACTGAACTGAACTGAATTGGATGAACTTTAATTAGTCAAATTAAAATGAACTGAAATAAAGATGAGGTGAGCTGCAATTAAATAAATGACATTGATCTCAGTTCATTAAAATTGAAGTGAATTGAGTTCAATTTAACTTAACTAACAAAACGAAACAAAGGAGAGGTATTATAAACAGAGGTAAAGTGAACTGAACTGAATTCATCTGAAGTAGAATGAATCTAGTAGGCAAAAAGTAAATGAAATTAACTCAGTTTGACTGAATTAAATCATATTAAATAGAATTAAACTGATTATACTAAGTTGAACTAAACTTGGATGAGCTGAACAAATGGAACTAAACTTAATCAATCTGACCAGACATAAAGACTCAGCTGAACTAATCAAAACTGAATTTGAGTGTATTTAGCTGGAGTGAAATGATCTGAACTGAACTGAATTGAAATCAAGTAATCTGAATATAAGCACTGAACTTAGTCAAAATGAGTAAAATTGAATTGAACTGAATTGAATTGTGCTGGCGCTGCACAGTGGTGCAGTTGGTAGAACTGTTGCCTTTCAAAACTGTCCTGGATTCAAACCTAGAGACTTTCTGCACATTTATCGGTTCTCTCTGGGTACTCCGACTTCCCCCAACAGACAAAAACATGACTGCGATGCTTATTTGTCTTTCTGTATTGTCCTTAGTGTGCATGCATGGTTATTTGTCCTGCCTGTTTCTCTGTGACCCTGCAATGGACTGGTGACCTGTCCATGGTCTACCCGACCTATGGCCCAATTACTGCTGGAGACAGGCACCAGCTCCCGCAAGGATAAGCGGGTATACAGAATGGATGAGCTAAACCCAAATGATAGCAGAATAAAACTGTAACACAAACATATTAAAATGAATACACGCCACAGTAAAAAATTCAAATTTTCTCTGTATATTTTATTCTGTTTTTTGTATAAAATCCATCCCTTTAACATTGTAATATATTTATAGATACAGCTATCATACAACAAATATGTCATTACCAAACGTACAATGTCCCTTTACTGTAATTCATAAAATACCAAAGGTACCAAGATAAGCTACCAGATTCTGCTACAAAAGCAGAACAACCAACAACAGTGAGGAACACTTCCATAAAACTGCTGGTGTTCGCATGGTAATACTGCAAAGTGGTGGTGGGAGGGGGGGTAGCTGTGGTGGGAGTGTACGTGTACACGTAAAATGCGGAAACAAAAGGGACTTATTTGTGTACCTTGCTAAACTACATTGCATTATAGTTTAAAAAAAAAGAAAACATTAAAACATTCATATCAAAAGGACTTAATGAGTCATCTCAAGATTTCATCTGACCCCTGCTTTTGTACACTTTAAGAGCACTGTTTATATTGTACCTCCACAACAATTCAAATACATGTGGTTTTTATTCACACACAGCGTAATTGTTTGACTATTGAAATATTTGGCTTGATTTTCTAATCACCGGGTGTGACAGAAGCGGTACCACATTTGATGTACTTCCATCTATATGTTCACTTGTTATAGCGTCACGTGTAGAGTTGAATTTCTGTTCTCCCTTCTTCTCCAATCCTATCTCTTCAAAGAGAGTTTTGATAGTAAACCCATTCACAAACACACTATGGTACATCTGAAACCTTGTGACTGGAAAGTCACTGTTATTATATTTTGCAGTGGAAATATAATACTATTTACAATACATACGTAACTGCATCAGAGTCCCACCTGTTCCACTGTGTTAACAGCCTCTCGCAAACATTTATTTTATTATTATTATTCTGCCCTATGAAACTTGTTCCACTTACATCTTTATGTTTATGTCTTGGCATTTTGGACCAGGCTCCCTACAAAACTGTTCAAGCAAAGTGGATCAATACCATATTATGCACCATTTTGCAATCAATGGCGACTGCAAATTTAGCCCAAAATGAACTCCTTACGCTTAACGTCCTCTAAATAACGAGTGTTTGATTTAAAATGTTTTCTTTCATTCTTTTCTTTTTTTTTATATAGTTTCATTTCAGAGGGTGTCTTTGGAACTTTCAACGCGTAGAAGCTTATAGTCCGCAAGGTTGGTCAAGAACATGGCACATGCACGATTTACAAGTTCAAATTTAAACCACGGTATTTATCGTCTTTCCCTTTCGAGTGAGTTAACTCTTCCTAAACTGATTACTCCAAGGTAAAAGGTGTTTGAGGTGTTCCGAATCATATGTAATTGCTCTTCTCTAGTCTTTGATGTCATGACTGTGCTCTCCTGGTGTCAGCATCATCGTCGAGTGGAACCATCTAATGGGCGTCCGTTGCGCCTCAGATCTCTAGCCGCTAGGTGCAGTGAAGGTCCGCGGGATGCTGTTAGAGTCCTTGTAGCCGGAGGTGAGTCCTGGTCCTCCATGAAGCTCTCGGGACTCCCATCCCCGTCCCCATCAGGTAGGCTACCACAGCTGGAGCCTGGCGACATTGTCTCCAGAAGATCATCCCTCGCTAGGCCCACCACGGTTTCTTGATGAGGCGCACCCTGAGGGCCTCCCTCATGGGTTGGGACACCAACCAGCAGCCCCGTGTCTCCGTCAGTACTGTTGCCAACATTTCGCCCTCCGTCCTGGTCCTCCAGGAGGTTGGAGAGGAAGCTGATGTACTTCATAGCAAGTCTCAGGATCTCGTTTTTGCTCAGCTTCTTGTCCGGAGGGTGAGTGGGGATGAGTTTGCGGAGCTCCGCAAACGCACCGTTTACATTCTGTTGCCGCCAACGCTCACGGCTGTTTGTGAAAATGCGACGCACAATCTTAGGCTGGCCAGCTGTTGGAGAGGACGGAAAGAAAGAAAAATACTGATATAAGGAGTCTAAGGTGACGCAGCAGTGAAGCAGTTAAAACATGACATTCAAACATTACTGAAAACGTGGATTTTCAAAAGCAAGCAAGTTATAAAGTGCTTAGAAAGTGTAGCAGCAAACAGGAAGCACAATATTTGTAAGGAGAAAAAAAAATAGAAAACAATCGCAGTAATCAACATTTGCACTCAGTATAACCAAGGATTATCATATATAAGACATTATTTATTTACTGTAGTTCGACAAACCTCAAAAATAATTGGCATTTGGAAGGGTGTGTTTACCACATCCTGAAATAAATGATTATTTATTTATTTATTTATAGGATGCAAAAAAATAATAATTTGCAACATTCACATAAAAATAGCAAAACTGTCCTCCGTATCCTGTTTTCAAATTTTTGATTTTCTTTGCCAAACCTCAAGAATGAAGGTAGTTTCTGAGGTTGAGTTAACTATATAGTGCAATCTAGTGAATTTGCATTCGTCTACACACACTTGAAAGCTTCTCTGAAGATAGGGAAATAAAACTTTATTTGAACTATTCAACTCTATCTCTTACATGCTGGTTGCAACACTATCTTTTGTTCCGCCCTAAAGTTTTAACAACACAAGATTTTGCTTGCACAAATCTCAAA